AGATAGCACATGCACAAATTATAATTATATATTTAGTTACTTTTTTCATGTTTGTACATAATGCCTGGCTATGGCTGTATTGCTTATAGCTGGAAACTCAATGACGAATTTTTAGTTTGATATATATTATCAGATGTGAACATATTTTGTTGATCGATCATGTACAGGAATATGTGGGAATATTACAATTTTAAGTAATTTCACCCAAGGACAAACCAGTGATAAATTGTCTCAAACCCTTTCTATTTTAATGTAATGAAGATGTATTATATCAAGTTACACAAATATACATCAACATTCGGTGAATCTAATTAATGAAATAACAATGATAAATGAATTGGAAATCACCATTTTGATTTTAAGAGAAACTGTACATCTGGACTGTTGTAGCAATAGGATTATGAATGGAAATTGATTTTGGCCATTATCAGAAAATTAGTGTATTTGTTTTGAATCACAAAATTGATATAAAATATGCTTCATTATCAGTCCTCGTTTGTACAGATCTCTTAAAAGGCAACAAATGTATTTAAATCTACTAAAAAATGCATGAATATTAATAACTGTAAGCTAACATTATGATATCAGTGACCCATTATGATTTTTATACAGGTTTAACATACAGTATATCATGTAAGTTACATGGTCAGAAGTACTCACCTGACCATAGTGAATTTACAAACCATCAGTATTGGCAATGCCATTATCAGTTTTAAGAGCTATTTTTTTAGGCATATAAAAATATATTTCTTCCCTTTTTATTTTTATTTTTTTTTCTAGTTTAGAATTTTCTGTCATTCATATCTGTTTGTAAATATTTTCATTGTACATGACATAATTATTGCTTGTTCAGTATCATTTGCATCCAAGTATTATTGCTTTAACAGTAGGATGTAAAGACCACATTTTTCCCCAACCTTTTCTTTTGAGTAAGCAAATTCAAATGCTTAAACATTAAACCTAAAAGGGAAAAACAAAATTAAAAAATAGAATCAAAACCCGAAATCAGTGTTATTTTCTAACGAAAAAGATTCAGAAAATGCATGTCAGTTTTGAAATGGGTTAGAATGTGCATACCGAGTAGAGCATATTGTCTTGGGAGCTTTTCTTTATTGCTGAAATTTTAAGAACAGGTCAAGGTTATTTGTATTGTGGTTTGTGTCTTTGGCAATAGTTTGTAACATGTGATTTAGTGATATTATTCATAAAGTATTATTTTTTAATGATTATGTAGGAATATTTATGTTTTAGATATACAGTATTTATTTATTATTAGAAATATTTATTATTATTTTAGAATATTTATGAATCTTTTAGTCTGTATCGTTTTGAATATGTGAAGTCAATTCTGAATTCGTGCACAGGTTCAGGTAAAGATTAGTTTTGAAATCTATTATTATTTTGCCACAAAGGTTGGTAAGGGAATTACATAGGCTGTTTTTTTTTGTTTTTGTTTTTTTAAGGTAGTGATTGTTTGCATTCATATATTTTTTTCTAAATATTATTGATCAAGACCAATTATAACTGAAAGAAATTGCTCTTTATTTTAAAAATTGGTTAGCCTTTGTTTCATTCATTTTATTTTGATTTTTTGTACATTCTCATAGAATCATTTTAAAGAATGTGGCTTAGTTCTTGATGGGTCCGAGATGACCTTCAATAACTAAATTAGCTAAGAAGTAAGGCTCTGGATTGTCTGTATGTGTCTTTCTTTATTTTATATACACTCTGATTGGATTTATATTTATATTTCACATAACGTGCTTTAGCTTTTGAAATATCTAATTATAATGCAGTGTTGAGTAAGGTGCCTTCAAGTATTTTCCTGATTTTTAATGATTTCATCCGCTTCCCTCTTAATTCCAAGACAAAGGCAAAGTACATATTGGTTCTAGAGCAGTGTGAATCGAACTAGGTGGTAATAAAGTGGAAACTATCGCTAATGGAAACTGTATAATCCCCCCCCCTCCCCCCTCTCTTCGTTTCAGAAGAAAAAAAAAAAAATCTGCCTTTGAATCTCAACTGGTTTATGACTATTTTATGTTAACTTGAGTAATAGCTTAATGCAAATTGCAAACTTTCCTGCTAAGTAAGAAAACACATTCACTTATGTTTCGACAAAAGTAATTAGTGTGTGCAAAGCTTTACATCAATTGCAATTTGGGAGGGGATGAAATAGGCTCATTGCAAACAGTTGGTGAGTACTTTTGTTCATGATTCATGTATTTATCTTAATGGATAAAATATCTACATTTCGAAAATCCTGTATTTGTAACTGCCTTTTTGCATTTGAAAATGCTCTTACCTGAACTTAATTTTTCCTAATCTTGTGCATATCACTACCTACCTTGTCATTGCTTTACCTATATATCTTACCCCATTGAAGTGTTGATTGGCTGCTTTCTGCCATGATAGTATGCAAGCCTTTCCCTCCTTTTGTGTGAAGAGTGGAGTGTAATTGTCCTCTACTACTAGTCCCATAGCCATTAATGTGAATCAGGGTTGTCTAGTGTCACAGATCAATAATATATGAATTTAGCCAACTAAAGTGCTATTATTAGCCCTTTTCCCTATTCTTTGTAGTAGTTTGTTGTAGAAGAAATAAGATTTCCACAGAAATAAAATGGATTTTATAGTGTGGAAACAAGTACACAGGGATGTGTACTGGAAATTTGAAAGTCATCTGAAGAAACAACTGTACAAACAAGTTTCATGCATATGGAGTAGGTATAAACAAACACATTTGTTGCCATATTCATTTTCTGTAAAAATAAATCCAGGGAAATTTTAGATAAATTTCTAGAGCAGATTTTCACCAACAAAGAAAAGTAATAATTTTCATGTGTCTGACTTATCAGTATTTGTACAATATGTAAAGTAATAAACCATAAGGTGTACCCAAAGACTAATTCAGTATATTTATTACGGACTGGACGTTTAAATCAAAATGACTATTGCAACAAAGGGCTACTAAAACCTCAATTTTCCTTGACATGTAGTAATTCTCTTTCTAAGGATATTTTCATGCCTTGCACTTCTTGACAAAATATCATTTTTGTGCAATGTGCATGATGCTACAACACACACTTTCTTTGCTAATTTCAATGGGTAATGAAGAATATTTTACAATATCTATTTTATTTTGGTATAGGAAAAATAATACCTAAGGATGTTAAAAAAAGATATGGGATACCTGGCATGATCCAAGTCTGTAAGCATCAACTAACATGGTTCCAAAAAATAAACAAAATTATCTAGCAAGTGTTCTAAAAACAGACTTCACTTTGGACATCCTGCAATAGACTTTATACATTCAAATCACCCTTTCATTTTTAGTTCATATTTCCAACACAACATAAACCATAGAAACCTATGTATGGGACACAGTACCCTTCATCATCCTCAATTACACAAATCAAATCATTACCTCTTTGATTTTTTAAGTTGTTGAACTGAATAGTTTATGGTATGGCAACATCTGATCCTATTAATTTGCAATGCTACACTTGTACTGTAGAATGTAAGAACCTGATATCATCCAGCCTTATTTTCTTCTAACTTTAGTAAAGATTCCCTGAGTAAGTGCTTTTCAGAAGTCAAAGCAGTTGATGAAGATGAAGTTTAGATTAGGAGTTCACATATAATTCCTATATAGTCCTCGCCCTTAGTTATAACGAGATATTAATTTAATGTATGACTTGAGTTCTCTACAAAAAGGGATGGTATATGGTAATGAGTATGTAAACACTATTAAATGGAGCTGCAGGCCTCATGATTTAACATCCATAGTAGAACCTTCACAACAGACCCTCGAAATGCATTAAGTGGTATTGTAACTATTCTAGACAAAGGGATTTTAAATTTTTATTCGTTTAATTCTGGGCTTCACAATAAATCTGTTAAAGCAGATGTAAGACTACTGAAACATTAAATATTTTGCTCAGATCATCAAAAGGGAAAAATATTTTGGCCTTTTACAAGTTTGGTTACAAAAAAATGTGATTAACTAAAAAAAAAAAAAAAAAAAGTAAGTAATGTGAAATTAAACTGCTCACTTACCTAACCAGTAGGATATGTTGTGACAGGTTACTACTATAGATCATATAAAAGAAATAACAGGTAGTTTAACAGAACAAAAACAGTAATTCCACAGTTCTCCTGAACAGGCATTCCTTTTTCAGTATATTTATTTTTTACTACAGATAACTGCCATAATTTCTATAAGAATAATGTGCTATCAAATGAGCTTTATTTTCCTCACACTGATTTAATGCTGGTTATATTTATTTTCTTTGTGAATGCCTTAGCATTACTCGGTGTACTTGTAAATGTAATAAATATAAACATTTTTATCCCTATTTTTATTCCCCAAATTTCTTTGATATGCTGGAACAAGTACCACTGAAGATAGAATTTTGAAATAATGAACGAGGTTTCTTCTCTGAAAGTCTCCCTCCCGTAACCTATGGGTCACACGTACAAACGCCATGACATACCACCTAGTCTGCGGGGTATGCCTGTACACGCAATGACCTGCCAGAGCACATGGATCGGGAAGTTCCACTACTCATAGTGGACTCCCAAGCCGTGTCTGGACATTGCCAGAAATCACCAGAGTTTGATGCTCAGAGATTTCCTATACCCATCGGCATCGGGTTGAGAGAAGCCAAAAGCTTATATAAAGAAAAATGTATTCACTTAATTAGTCTCAAATTCCACATCCCCTTTCTTGTAACCAATGTATCTAAATTTAATAATCGCACACTGAGCTGCTTAGTACAAATTCTATATATGGTAAAAAATTATTGAACCCATTGGAAGTCTTCATTACATTTTTTAGATTTATAATCCTATATGGTTATTAAATGTTCATCATCTTCAAAAAGGTGATTCTATATACATTTCTCAGAAAGAACTAGATGTAAAATCCTTAGCATAACTGATCAGAACTAATGCTCTCCTATTAAATAACAAATAAAGGAAATAAAAATACATCTTTTACTCCTGTTTATTTCTGTATTAACCGTGGAATGAATGGCAATTAGATTTTATTGAAAGCAGCAACATCTACACTTTGCACCTGAAAAGAAACAAAACAAAATATAAATATAAATACAGAACAAAAAATAGTGATTTTATTCAAGAAATCTAGAGTATCAATACTACATACAAATACATATACTTACGTAATCTTCAATTTCTTGAATCTTCTCACAAAGGTCATCAATGGATACCTTCTCATCTTCAACTGTACACAAAATTGAGAGTTTCTGGATACCAAAAGCCAATGGCTTCAACTGAGCTGTAAGAAGAAAAAAATATTGAAGGAGACTATTTTTCAAATGTCCTGAACTTTCATTTTTGATGTTTAATATTAACTGAAAAATTCCAAATACGTAAATTTTAACTAAAATAGAAAATTTTAAAATAAGAACCATTCTACTTACCAGCACCCCACAAGAGTCCATCCATCTCAATCTTACGTACTTCGGTCTCCATAACCTTCATGTCTGTTTCATCATCCCATGGCTTTACATCAAGGAGTACTGAAGACTTGGCAATGGGACCAGGCTTCTTTGATTTCTTGTCCGCATAGGCCTTTAAACGTTCTTCCCTAATGCGGGCAGCTTCTGCACTCTCCTGGAGTAGGATTTAGAATATTTTTGAGTGAACACAAGACGCAAGCAAAATTAATCTAAGAATAGTTATGTGGATTTAATACATCAAACAATCCTAGAACAAAACATGCTGATTTCTCTAACAATCTCCCTGAGTCAACACTTTTCCATTTTCCTTAAATAATATTTGATACCTGACTTTAGCAGTTAACAAATACAAGAGCCTAACCCTATTGTCCAACCCTATCTGGCTATCTCATAGGGGAGGTGTTAGAAACACAGTAAAAGAGTAATTAAATAAATAAAAATAAACAAAATAAAAATTGTTGTTATCTGGTTATATTTTTTTCTGAATTACTTAAAAAATATTCTACAGCTACATCAACCTTAATGGATATACAAGACTTGTAATCACATGTGTATGCCTTTGACATGCAACACTTTAACAGCTCTATGGGCAAATTGTACAGGGGAGGGGATACTGACCAAGCTACCATGAGTCAAAGCAGCACCTCAGGACAGAGGTGCATGCACATTAACACACCCATGTTCTCTTCTGACTTTACCATAAAACAATCGCCCAATGGAATAACTTAGTACACAACAAAAATTCTACAACCACAATAGGTCATCAACTTCAATAACTGTTAAAACTTATTCCAAAATCTATACTGCACATTACCTCCTCATCATCATCATCTGAGCCAAAGAGATCAACTTCCTCATCATCATCCTCTTCAGTCTCCATGGGCTCTGGCTTGCTCTTGGCTGGGGCTGTAGTGGTCTTGCCGCCGCATTCCAAGGCCGCTAACCTTTTGGTGAGGTTCAGGATGGTCTGCTCTAAGGTTGACACAGCTGCAAGTAAAGTAAGTAGAAAATGGAAATATTCTTCATTTGTGACTTACTCTATAATGCAATGAAATAAATCTAAGTGTGTTTTTATTCATCCACACTGAGTAGAATTCTTAACCGCAGTACCGTACTGATGATTAAAAATTACTCAATTTTTGGGGACTCACGCCACCCCCTATTGGAAGGGCAGGGTTTAAGTGATATACAAGACCAAGCACAATTATATACTCTACTATATTAGAAAATCTATTAGTAATCTAAAACTGTTAGCTTTTTATGACCAAGTGTACTGGAGCAATGTAAGCCTTGGTTAGGACAGTTCCCTTAATTACTTTAATTTCTAATATTTGTAATAATACACCTGTAAGACACATGGGGAGAGCATGGACTTCCTGAAGCCTTTCCTGTCTAGTGAAAGATAATAGGGAAAAGTGGTTGGGAACTTTACAAATGTCAAAAAGTAATTGACAAACCCCGAAAGCCTGTTACAAAGCATCTGTGAATGCAACTTTCCGTAACATTACTTACTCTTCTTCAGGGTGCAGTTCTCTCCCTCCAGCTTGGTGATCCTGTTGAGGATGTCTGGATTCACCCCTGAACTGGATCCCCCACGACTTCCCTGCAAACATGTCAGAGTTGAAGCAAAACACAGTTTACATAAAGGGCAGAATTCAGTGTCCCATCATTATGAAAGCATCCAATATTACTTAGAAATATATCACATTACAGTAAGAAGTTAGTGCAACACTGTCTTGCACTTTATAATATATATATATATATATATATATATATATATATATATATATATATATATATATATATATATATATATATATATATATATATATATATAAAATTACATTGGGTACAGGATTACTGAAGATATTAAATTAGAGGATTTCATGTGAGAACAAATTATATCAGAAAATTCACTTTATCAAACAACCACTGACAATGTCTTCCAGGTTATCTACATTAATGACAAAACCTTTATCAACCCCTTGGATCCAGGTGACCTAACCATCACGTCATGAAAAGGTTTGGCTGAGGGCAGAGATGCCAAAAATGACTCGCCACAAGTCCACAAAGCTCTTTGAGGGTGATCACATTCAGTGGGCTTTTAAGAAGGGGCTTTTGTATTATTTCCATCCTGACTGGCAGCCCAGGGTGCATTACAGATAATTGGAAATGACAAAAATATTTACAAATTACTTGAAAACTTTTTACTTATTGTTATTGCTATCCCACAGAAATATAGACAACCTAGAGATATTTGTACAATTGTCTGTACAATGAAAAAAGTCTATTACCATCTTGGTTCAGCATATCAAATGACAGACTGGAACATGGCAAAAAAAGCAAAAAATGCTTATGCAGAAAATGAAATAACATTGCAAAGGTAAGGCAAGAAAGTGCATAGAAAGCTTTAGAGAGACTTCATTCAGGTGGACAAATAACAAGCAATAGCATACTGTGCATACTCATATCATAAATATTTTCCTACCATACAAGCATTATAACCACAAAACTGCTTCATTATCTGGTAACTGGATGTGTGCCTGCATGTGTGTTCTGTGTTTTCATGCATTCAAGACAATCTTGTAATCATTCGAAGTCTACTTGAACATTCTATTTTGTGACCCACAGATCTTGGAAAAATGAAGTAGAATTGCTTGATGCAAAAAAGAAAGTATCCATTAGGATATGCTTAAAAGATTTAACAATTCCTTGTCTCTACATCACAGAGGGTTGCATGTAAAATGAACATGTATTAAGTTACTCTTGATAAATCATGCCACATACAAATACATATGTATACTTAATTTCTGACTACCATGCTTATGTTAGCTTTCTGAGGGAACTAATCATGCATCAGAAGCTGATTAATTACACAAATTGTGACAAGGAGTTGCTAGTGTTCAAAACCCTACAGTATGACCTACTAGTACTTTCAGAAATGTTTAAAAAACTACCTTTTTTTATTGCCAAGGCCACACTTAGCCAGCAAATAAGCAACAATGAACCTACTTAAGTAACAAATGTGAAACAAATGTACAAAGGCCTACTCACAGAGGCTAAGGAATTCTGTATTTCCTGTCGTGCCTTGGCAATCTGACTGGCCAGGGTTCCTAGGGCTGAACTTCCCTGGGATACAGAGGAAACCATTAGAAAAAAAAGCCATGTTGAGAAATGTGCATTCATCAAAATTATGAATGTTTGGGATCTTATGTGTCCTGTACTACTGCATCATTAAATTTTAAAACACTTTTTAAAAACCACTAAACTGCCTAGCAACATCAAACCTAGCATCAGAGCAGTCTTTATAACTGGTGTTATAATGCCACTGTCACTGTCTAAAAAGGTGGAATAGATACCTATAATAAACAAGATGTTTAGATAACAATCGCTTCTATGACATTGTTTTGTGACCCCAAGTTCAAACCATTACTATTTATGCAGAAGATCCACTACCTCCCAACCAATACATTTCAACTCCTATAACAAATTTCAAGTATTAAGTATACACCAAAAGATTTACTCAAGACTTGAGGATACCATAATTAGTAAGCTAAACATAGCCAAACATCTATTCATCAAAATAATTCCTTTGCAATAAAAAATCTGGGTCATTACCAGCCCACAGTTAATAAAAGAGGACAGATCTGCATAATTCTAAAACAAGTTAGTTGGTTAGTTTCTGTATCCATACTGGAGAAGAATACTTGCAATGTCATTCATATTCAAAAACATGGCTTAAATCTTGGAAGTCATAGGATTATATAGAACCTCAAACACTTAGTACTTATAATGCACGCTAACACACTCAAGCATAAATTGTCATGTGGATATATTTATATATTCATATAATGCATAATATATATATAAAATATTGAATATATAAATATATAACAATATACACATTGCATATAAGTTTGAGCCCTGTAGGAAGAACAATTATTTGGAGGTATATTCTAAAAGAAATCTAAGCTAGTAAAAAGGTATAAATAACAAAACCAATTGTTATAGCAGATACAAAACTCATTTCACACGATAATCGTAATATGCCAAAGGGAACCGTGCAAATACACATCAAAAAACTTTATTACTCCAAAACAGGTACAGGTTATCTATTACCTTTTCTTAGTCTAAAAACACACCAAACCACACCACCTAATTCAGTTTCTAACTTCTGCATTTTCTTTTTTATTAAAAGGTAATCACCATTAGTAGAAAAAAATTTTTAAAAATTAATAAATAAATAAATAAGCACACAGTCTCACAGCCTATTCAAGCCCCACCCCCTCCACCCCCCCTACTACCTCCTCTTGCGGCTCTACTTGGCTGCTCTTCAAGTTTTCCGACTTTTCAGACCTTTCAGAAACTTGAGAGGCGCGAGCAGAGGGCGACTCTTGCATCTTGACACTTTCACACACCTGCTCTTGACTGTCGTTTGGCTAAATAGGGTAAATGCAGTTTAAATGGCAGTGGGTATACAGTTTAACAAAAATCAATAAAAACTTTCTCTTGAGGATAATAAAAAGAAAATGTGCAGTGAAGTACTGAAAGCATATTCAGATTAAAAAATTGCATTCAACAAAATCAATATCTAGATTTTTTTGTTTTTTTTTAATAGTGACACTAAAATAACACCAATTAGTGCAAAATGTCTATAAAATCACACAAACATTTTTCATATAATATTGTCTTACTTATCCTTATGCCTTGATTTTGCCTCAAATGTATAAAAAAAAAAGACATTAAGATTATATTTACATCATCAAGAGCTCAAGACTTCAGAATTATGAACATAGTCATACACAGATCCACAAGAAATAATTTGACTGACTGGCTTAGAATAACATTGGGGGCATTTGGAAAACATTACACATTTCCCTTCTTATCTAAGTAATTAAGATATTTTCATTTGCAAATGAATATAATTTTACACAGAAACACTACACTAAAAACTGGGGATATATAACAAATAGAGAGCCGATTGATTAATTCAATGAAAGGGAATAGAACCATGTTTTTGGTTCTACCTGGAAAAACTAAGCACGAGTATCTGCTATGCTCAAACTCTCAAACAAAATACAAAATATTGTACACAACTACCATCACATTTCACGAGACATACCAAATACAACTCTGAAGATTCCATTAGCATCTGCATTCACTAAACCTACTAGAAATCAGTAAGTATACTGTTCTTAGTAATACATCTAAACTGTTCAAAAGCAACTATATCACTGGACAACTAAATGAATGAAAATTCTATACAGAAGATCAAACTGCTTACCTTACAGTTAGACCCTACAGGTCTCCCTATACAGGGCGGCCTTTGGCAACTGCGTCCAATAGCTGGCTACATACAAACAAAAGGGGCATACTTTTTAAGTTTTATCTGCTGTCCTGTAATTTGTGAATACAGTACTTTTTTAGCAGCTACATCAATGATATAGATTATATACACTCCCAAGTAGCATTTCTGGACTGATTATACATCTGCCAGTGTATCAGCACAGTAGTTTTTATTTATATCTGGTTCATTTGCATAAAGTCACCTATATTAAATATATTCGTCTGAAAAGTATATGCAAATCTGTAATATAAAAATAACTTCTATTATGCTTACAAACCAATCTCATTTTATGATATCCCTCTTTGGCAAACACTTCCACTCAACAGGTGGAGATGATATTTGAGATTTGCTCTATTCAAAGAACATCTGCAATTCAAAGAAAAAATTTATATTTATAGCCCCATGAGCAACTTTTCTACCAACACCAGTAAAATTTCAACCTCTCCCACTCACCATGGACTTGTTCTCATAGAACTCGCGTTCTGCATCATCTACACGCCACTTGTCAAACCAGATGTTTTCCTGTGCCAGTTCTAAAGCCATTGTGGGGGATATTCTGAAATGATTGCAACAGAATAAGATCAGAGGTTATCTTTTAGGATGATCAATAAAACAACACATTTATCAGATAAGCCATTACAGGGCCACCAAACTCATTATAGCCAGTTGCTTTCTTAAAATATTTACCTTAATAGCAGGTAGGTATATCACACAAACCTGATTTGCTATAATAATTTTTTGCCTATTTTTTTTCTTAGAATATTCACAAAAAAAAAAAGTGTAATTTGGCAACCCTGTCCTACATTGTGACAAAGCTTAGTAGAGAATAAAATTAAACTTTTATCTATAACATAAGCTTTGGTATGTCCACATCAATGTACCACAAGCTTTAGGAGTGTATTAATGTGAACATATCTAGGCTTGTGTTACAGATGAGAGTTTAAATTAAAAATATTTAATAAACACAATTTTGTGATTTATCAATAATGAAATATAGCATTTGCTCCTCTTTGTAACCCTGAATTTTCCTGGATAATCAAAGGTTTTCAGAGATACTGTGCACGTGACAGTTGCAAAGGACAGCTGACATTCCGAATCAGGTTTGACACTATCTTTCCTGAAACATGAAAACACTCAATCATGATGAAGCCAGCATTAGGTGTACCAACCAGTCCCTACAGAAGTAACCTGGGAAGGGGCTTATCCAAGGAGTTTATTAATATGATTTGCTATAATAATTTTTTGCCTATTTTTTTCTTAGAATATTCACAAAAAAAAAGTGTGATTTGGCAACCCTGCCCTAGATTGTGACAAAGCTTAGTAGAGAATAAAATAAAAGGACAGTGGTCTTTTTTGTTATGCCATCCCCTCTCCATGCGTACAGGATAATGCACATCACTCCATCGGTACTCACACCTAAATATCCCCCTCCCCCCCTCCCCCCCCAAAAAAAAAAAAATCAAAATGATTTGCTCAAAGAATTCACTTGAATCAACATCTGGCAACTCTCTGGTGTACATAAGCTCTCAACAAGCCATGGCAACAGGAATTCAAGTCTGCAGAAGGGTACTGTGTCTGATCATTTGATGTAAATATCTAAACCACCACCATTTTTTTTTGTTTTTGTTTTTTGTTTTTTTGTTTAGAAGTTTGTTAATACTTGTATGATTTCCTTCATTTAGGTTGCATTTTGTAGAGTAGAAAGTATACTAATTTTAATCTTTTATATATATTTTGAATAATATTGACAATTTTCTCTTTTTGAAAATGCAAACTCAAATACTGGAACAAAAAAAAAAAAAAAAAAAAAAAAAAAATTATATATATATATATATATATATATATATATATATATATATATATATATATATATATATATATAAGTACTAGTTTTAGATAATAAAAGTAAATTTTTTCGCTGACTCCCATTACGACAATATGATGCCTTAACCAAGAAAAATTAAGAATATATTTTTTATTTCGGTTATTAATTTGCCAAAATGAAACCAAACTCGAGATATAACATCTGTTATTACACCAGCTTGAAAAAATAAATAAAAAATTGTGTCTCATATTAATATAACCATATTTGATGCTGATGGTCCCCTTAATAATACAGCCATTAGTCTATGGTGAATGTGCCCATAAATTACGATTTCAAAATACTAATAGAGTAATAAGAAAAGAAATAAATGCATGAAAGAAAACCAAAGACCAGTGCATGTTCCAAGTACGATTACACGAATACATTAAAACAACCCCCCTTACCCCTAAACACAATCGTGGTTTCTAAATGGAGAAGTGATGTACCCCGGTTTATTGGCAGGCACTTTGGCAAGACAAACTGTAGTTAAAGGTGAGCAGTTTATTTTAGCATGCACCTCATGTTTCACTCACTTTACTATTCAATGAAAGTGAGGATCCCTCCAAAGACGAAGTCCCAAAACCAGGGTATCGTGCAAACTCAAAAATCAAAACCTAACCTTATCTACTTTCTATTTATTCCTTAGATAGGAGGGACGCCCCCTTTTACTAGCACTTTGTACCAACTGCCACAACAAATTTGTTATATAAAATCTTTGACATGCCTTCAGTGTGGAGGGTAAAACTGTGGTGAGGAGGCATTATAGTATTCACCCTGCTTTATTAGCACTTTGTGCCAAATTAATGAAAACCCAACATTAATAACGAGAGATGAGTGGCAATATGCAGTAGATATCATCATTGCAGTAAATATGAGGCCAGCTTCTATTTCTTATGCTCTATAAGATGGCTGTGTCAATTTTCCTCTATCTGTGTGCATTGCTCTTGGTAACATTAACCAAAGAATAAGATGCATATCATTTTATCAATGACTAAAAGTTATTGGCTTTGACTTTGTGTATCATAAATTGTATACTACTCTATTTTCACAGATATACTTATACAAACTACTTGCAATAAAAAAAAAAAAAAAAATATTACTAAAAATAAAGAACTTTGCAAATAAAATGTTTGCATATATAATGCTGAAGATTCAAAAAAACTTGCTATAACATCAACCATTGTATCATACAAGGATTTTTACTGCTACTCTTAAAGTTACAAAAGGAGAAAATAAAAAAATTGCTCTCCTATGACATCATAATACCAAAGGACAGATGGGGAAAGCTGACCTCTGACCCCCCCCCCTCCAACTACACCCCCTGAAAACCATGGTCTCTACAAGCATGGCAAAATAAGAGTTAAAACTAGGGAGAACAGTGAGGACTAAGGCTGTGTGCGACACTTTCAGCAACATTTTCCCTCCTCTGTGGCATTATTGTTCACGTCTGCATATATCTTGTGCAAACGACTACAAATTTTGTCCACTATAAGAATATCCCTTTAGTGCATCCATCCAATTGCAGGAACGAATTTATGCAGCCAGGCAAAGGGGACGTTCAAGGGATGAAAAGTTATTCACCTATGCTAATCGTGAGGTAAATCTATCTCAGAAAGTATCAGACCCTTTATATGATTCAGTGACAAAAGTGTAACTACTGAAGGGAATTTCAAAACAAACCCTCAAATTAAGGGCATGAAAAGCAGATCAACTAATGAGGACTTCAGTTTAAATGTTACTAAGTTAAAGGTGAAACTGGTAAGTGTTCAGAATACCTTTGTATGATGAGTCACAACAAGAGTGATATTGATGGATTCCTTTCACCCTCTATCTACCCTTTTGTCACAGAGTTCCCCCCCCCCCCCCAAGCCACCACATTCATGGCCACAATAGTAGGGTGGAAATAAAAGATACCAGGGAACTTATGAATAGTATGCACAGAATGTCACTATAATAATAATGGTCAGTCTATAGACACATTAAGCTAAGGCAACTTGAAGTGGATATTCTTGTAGACAACAAGTTAGTCAGTCTTTAATGCAAGAAATTATCTGTAGAAAAATTACAGAAAGCACTGTTTACCCCTATCAACCTTCCGACACGAACCTGCCATAATAACAAAGTCTGCACTGACACTCACACTAGAGATTATTGTTTTCCATTTTCTTATATTTAGTAAAAATGCCAAACTGTATCACACAAAAATGACCTGTAAACACCTCAAAATCTCAAGAGCTGAAGTCACTCTGCCCTTAGCATTGGCTCGGTCAACATCTCAAGCTCTCACAGACCACTCGCTCATTGCGGGCATGGCACAATACTCCTGCCTGGACGTCTCTGCCAGGCCTGTCCTCTGTAATCTAACAAACAAACTCCCGCAGACTTTTGAAACTGCGCTTTCAAATCTGTGACAACTCAACACCCAAGTACCAGCAGCACCATCACAGAGGAACACGAACTCACATCATCATCACGTTGGTGGCAAACTAGTGGAATACACTTCCCACTTATATTACATTTGGTGCCATCAGGTGGGATACATCTCCAATATATATTACAGAGCACCCATTGCCGAGTCTGACCTACATTCTCTCCTACTGTATGTGGGGAGGGCTGACTAACATGTTCTTCACTTCAGTATGCTCGGTAAGATAAAAAAAAACTCAGCATCAGGTGGATTAAGAGTGTAGGTACAGCTTTCTGCCTCCTTTATCTCTTATGGTTAATGAAGTTCCTTATCTAAAGATTGTACCAAATTGTACCAAAAATATTACAAAGATAAATTATCAATTCAACTACAAAAATGACATCTAAATTCTTATATCACTCATAGTATTACAAATAATCTTTTTTTGAAAGGAGACTGACACAGATTAACCCCATCCCGCCGGGTGGCATGCACGTACATGCCATGGCATACCTGGACTATATTCCGGGTGGCATGTGAATAAGTGCCATGGTGCGCCAGTCCCATTTTCCAGGGGTATTTACGGTCAATGCCACACAGGCTGTGGTGACGACACGATCCCCCGGCAGCGGGGCCCAGGCCACTAGGAATACAGCCTGAGAGAGGTGACTTTCGCATCAGGAAGCCACCCGGCGGCAAAGGGTTAAAAAAAAAAAAAAAACTATACCATCCATTCTCTCCCTTCAATATAAACTCTCTCAACCTCCATCATTTTAATAACAAAATAGCCAAGTGATTAATAAATTGAGTATAATAAGGTAAATGATAAATAGAGAACAAGGTGGATAATTGAGAATAATAAAGTAGATAATACAACAGAAGGTATTTGTTACCGAGAGAGAGAGAGACCAGACGAATTCCAAAATGCAGGACAACGCGCAAACCCAAAATCCAAACCTAACCCCAAGACAAAACAGACTAAATACCCCCCCCTCCTTCCCTTTATCAAACACCACACGAACTTAGAGAAAACCCGACCTTAAGAAACCACAACTGTGCGAGGCCATTGTGCACTTAAGTCTCGTGACGCGCAAGGGGGGTATTTTTCACGATTCCCCCTTAATTTATGAAGCCGCTGCGGATATACTGGTGTTGCGTCCTAACTCTATCCTTTATGCTCTATGAGACGCCAGTATCCGTTGTCTCTCTATCTCCGTGCGTCTCTCTCGGTGACATTAACGTAATTAGTGAATATCAAGGCGGATAATAAACAGAATGATAAGGTGGATAATAAACAGGGAATAATATAGTTGATAATAAATAGAGAATTTGGTGTAGAAAATAACAAGGTGGATAAAAAATAGAGAATAAGGTGGATAACAAAGAGTGAATAACAAGGTGGATAATAAACACAATAATATGGTGAATAATAAATAGAGAATAACAAGGTGAATAATAAACAGAGGAGAATATGGTGGATACTAAATAGAGAATAAAGGGGGGGATAATAAAGAGAATATGGTGGATGATAAATGGGAGAATTTAAAACAGAAAATAACAAGGCAGATAATAAATATGGTGAATAATAAATAGAGAATAATAATGTGCATAATAATCCCTCTCAAACCACCTGCTCTCTAATCCATCATAAATAATTCACACCATTTTAATTTATTCTTTTTTAAGCTACTTATACACATTAATCACCGAATAACAGTGGGGAAAATAAACCAACGAAACAAGCACATGGGAAGAAAAAAAAAGAGAGACGGAAATCCCAAAGAAAAAACAAGAAAAAAGAAAAAAAAGGAAAAAAAAAATCCTCCGGTGTGACAAAAATCCCCTTCAAAGGAACGACAATAAGGATTATTTATAAACCCACCCGGCCAAATACCTCTTTTAAAATCCCCCTTTTCTACCTCGACCTTCCTTCCCTCGCGTCTCCTTCGGTCACTCCACCTCTCGCTTCAAAAGAGAACCTCCGCCGAGTGAGCTTTGGCGAGAAAAAAGCGAAAAATATGGGGACTTACTCGTGGCTGGCGGCGCGTGAGGGAGGCGAGTGCGGCCGAAGAGGTTCGTTCCGCTTCGTCCCGCAATAACAACTATTGGTCCGTTCCGCCGTTCCTCGCCGGTCCG